GACCCAAAACCCATCTTATAGACAATTGGACATCCCCTTACAGAGGGGTCGTGGGGAGGAGACAAGCCAGTCAAGGTGCAGTATAGCACAGAAGAAACATAGAACTTTCCTCTGGTTCTTTAATGCTCCGCCCGCCACCCCCACCCCCCCCATCATGACCCGAGTTCTACTTTACAAATTCAGCTAGACCAGAACATGTACATGGGTACAGACAAGAACTGGAAACACAGGGAACCCAGGACAGATAAACACCCCCCCGTACCAATATTGAGAGTATCGATACCAGGAGGGGAAAGGGAAGGTGGAGGGAGAAAGGGGGAACTGATCACAATGATCTACATATAACCCCCTCCCAGGGGGACAGACAAAAGAAAAATGGGTGAAGGGAAACAGGGGTTGGTGTAAGACATGAAAAAAAATAATGTATAAATTATCAAGGGTTCATGAAGGAGGGAGGGTGTAGGAGGGAGGGAAAAAATGAGGAGCTGATACCAAGGGCTCAAGCAGAAAGAAAATGTTTTGAAAATGATGCTGGCAACATATGTACAAATGTGCTTGACACATTGAGTATATGTGTATGGATTGTGAGGAGAGCTATGAGCCCCCAATAAAGTGATTTTTTTAAAGTGAATGATATAAACTTATATTTGAATTATATTTTAAAAAATACTTTTAAAAGGTAAAAAATGCTCAAAACTCATTACTACTCTTATTTTATTACAACTCACTGTTATCTGTGATTTTGAGGTTATTTCCTTATATTCTATCAGGATGGTGGGAATATGATATAATGGTGCACGAGGGCAATCATTTTGTATAGTTCAGTGATTATACACTAAGAAATTGAGGTCTGCTGTAAATCATCAACATTGGCAAATGCTCAAAATCGGTGCTATTCTTTTTCTTCTTCTCATAATGCAGGTTGTTAGCCATTCACCCGAGCACTATTGAAAGCACTTAGTGCCTGTTACATTATAACCACTATAATTGCTTCCATTATTGTGTTTGTGCACTGACTCGCAATGTGTATCTTTTTTTGTGTGTCGAAGTTAAAAATGTTTGAAGAACAAAATTACAAACGGCCAGACAGTGTGCTGCACTATACCTACTTAATCCTCCCAGTAAATCTGTTAAATGTGGACTGTTTGCTATCCCTATTTTCCTGATGGGGAAAAGGTTAGTTGTGAGCTGGTAACATCCGGGGCAACAGTAGCACTTGGTGGAGGTGGAAGTCCAATGGGAAGTTCAGAAACTTCAGAGCATTCGTGTAATTAACGAATATTCAAAAATTAAGCCACCTTCCTTATTTTTAAGAGAAAGAACCCTGGTGACTGCCAATTGGGAGATTGTGGTTCAAACCCACCAGCTGATCTGGGATTTGTAGGAGGAAGACATCGAAATACATTTTTACAGCTTCGGAAGCTTTCTGGACAGTTTTACTCTGTCCTGTAGTATGGATCACTATATATATATATATATAGGCATCGCCTAGACCGCACCGGTAATTCTCACGTTCTCCGCCTCGGGATAACTCCGTTTAGCAGCGCACGTAAAATGACCGAGGGGCAGCCTGCTCCTTCAATCTGGGGAGAAGTGTCAGCTCAGTGGCAGTCAGAGAAGGGCACGGTGAGGGAGCAGAGCGCGAGTAGCTTCAGAACAATAGAACAAAGAACGAAGGGTTGGGCCTCGCGAGGTTTCCATTTCCACCACCCTCGAGCGCGAATTCCGCAGATCCGGCCGCCGCGTCCGTTGCATGCTGGGAACGGGTATTCCCACGCCCGGCCACGTCAACACCAGGTGACGGAACCCACGTTGTACGGTCCGGTCTTGGAGAACCGCCTTGCGCACCGTGCAGCATTGCGTTCGCGCGAGGCAGCATGTGGGTCAGCAACGAAAGGCACCGAGGGAAGCCCTGCGGCTGCGCCCTTTAGGTCCCCCGGGGCTCACTGCTCCCGGGCAGGCCATCGCCTTGCTCTAAAAGCTAAGGCCGGCCGCCCAGCCCAGAGGCCCGGAGCCGCGGCCAGGCTCTGCGCAAGTGCGCAAGTGCGCCTGCGCCTGCGCCTGCGCCTGCGCCGGCCTGCCGGGCGCGCGGGCCCGACCTGGGGGTCGGAAAGCAGTCAGCCCTGCGCCCTGGCGGCGTAGTAGTCCCAGCAAGCTGCTGGCACCGGGGGTTGCCTTCGCCAAGGAACTACTCTAAGGGGGAGGCGCGGGGTCTGGATATTGAGCAGAGCCTGGTGGTCCACAGCAGGGCAGAGCTGTAGAGGTCTATTGTCTGGTGACCAGACGTCCCGCTTTTGGCGGGACAGTCCCGATTTTGATCAATTTTTTTCCCGCGTCCCGCGGCGTTTTAAAAAAGTCCCGATTTTTGGAAAGAATGCCCGACAAGCTAGGGTAGACGGTTTGGGGCTGCCATGTGGCTCTTTCGCCAGGATATGAGTTTTATCAATGGTGTCCCGCTTTACCAATGCTCAAATCTGGTCACCTTATAAGGACTAGGGGTGTAGTCAGAGTTTTTCGGAAGAAGTTGGGTACTGGAGGTCTGATGGGAATGGTAATAAAAGCCACTGCCACTGCGTCTAGAAACCTTGGCGGCGTAGTGGTTACACGTTAGGATTCAATCCACAAGGTCAGCAGTGTGAAACCAGTCGCTCGGCGAGGAGAAAGACGGATCTTCTACGCCCATAAAGAGTTACAGGCCCTGCAGCTGCAATTCTGCTCTGGTCCTCTAGGGTCGCTATGAGTTGGCAGTGACTAACTGAGAGTGAGTGAGCCGGTCCATCCATTCTTACCCATAGCGATCCGATGTAGAGTTTCCGAGACGGTAAATCTTTCCGGGGAGCAGACGGCCTCGTTTTTGTTTTTGTTTTTTCCTGAGAAGTAGCTGGTCGGTTTTAACCACTTAACCCTGGTGGCAAAGTGGGTCCCGTGTTGGGCTGCTAACCACAAGGTCATCAGTTTGGAACCACTAGTCGCTCCACAAGGGTGCCCTGTGGGTTATGCACTGGGTAGCGAACCTCAAGATGTGCAGTTCGAAACCATCAGACGCTCTGCCGGAGAATGAGGAGGCTTTCTAAGCCCAGAAAGACGTACAGTCTTGGAAACCCACAGGGGCAGCTCTATTCTGCCCTATCGGGTCGCTGTGAGTCAAAATGGACTGGGCAGCAGTGAGTTTGATTTGAGAGGGTTGCCCAGGAGCCCTGGTGGCGTAGCAGTTATGCGTTGCACTATTAACTGCAAGTTAAGCAGTTCGAAACTGCTAGCTAATGCGCGGGAGAAAGACGGGGCTTTCTACCTTTGAAAAGAGTTACAATCTCAGAAACTCCCAGGGACAGTTCTACCCCCTCTGGGGTCATTAAAAGTCGTCATTGGCTCCGTGGCAATGAGTGACGTTTTGAATGTTTTGAGGAGAATGCCCAGGTGGTGTGAGTGGTTACCTTTTGGGATGCTAACTGCAAGGTATGCAGTTTGGAATCCACCAGCCCCCCTCCCTGCTGGGGCGGGGTGGGGGTGGGGTGGTGAGGCTTTTTATTTTCCTAGATAGTCATCCTCGGCAACCATAAGGGCAATTCTACCCAGACCTATCAGGTCGCCCTCTGGGATCATTATGACTGACCATGGACTCGATGGCCATGAGTTTGGTTTTTAAGTAGGGTCTCTTTAAATCGGAATCAAGTCGATTGGCAGTGAGTTTCCTCCGAGAGCCTACTTTGGCCTGCTAGCAGCCCAATACCATAGAGGTACTTTAAAGTTCTAAGGTCCCATTTGAGTGTGTTCATTGATTGATGAAGGGGGAAGTGGTAGCATAGGCAACTGGAAGATAATGGAAGGCAGGTGGGGGGTGATCACCAAGGGATTGATTTTTTTATATAAGGTTTGCAAGAAGGGAGCAGACCGCCTCATTTCTCCTGTAGAGCAGCTGCTGGCCTAACAACAGTGCCATAAGGGCCCCTTAAGGGACAGATGAAAATATGGCATTTCACAGCTTAATAGAGAGTGATGGGGTGTAGTCAAAACATAATGGTAAGAATATGGGGAGGGGGGAATAATAGAGGCTGATTGGAGGTGATTTTTGAAAGGTGAATAGATGAGTAGTGTGGGTGTGATGATCAAGGGACTCAGGGGCAATGGTCAAAGAAAGGAGAAAGGAAGGGTGGGAGGGTGTTATAATCAATGGAGTTAATAGTGGGCAATTATGGCATGATGGTCCAGGAATTAGACTGAGCTATGAGAGAGTAATAAATAGTAAATTCTTGAGTCTTGGTCATCAAGTGATTCATAGAGGGAAGGGTGGGCTGTGAGGAGAGAAAAGGGAACTGATTAGCATTTGATGTCAAGGGAGTAGCAGTGAGGCAATAGGAAATTCGTAGAGGTATGATCTACGAGAAATTGGGGCAAATGAGGCAAGTGGATTAGTTGGGGCTGAAAGCTTAGTTGGGGAGGGGCTAATGTGGCATGACCCTCCAGGCATTAATGGGTGTTGGGAAATTCCAATGGGACCAGGCAATAGCTGTCAGTTTGCGGCTACCCAGAGGAGCTTTGGAAAAAAGACCTGGTGGTCGACTTCTAAAAAGTCAAGTTATTGAACCCCAGTGGAGCACAATTCTGTGACATGCATGGGGTCACCCTGAGTCGGGATCAACTCAGTAGCACTGATTTGGGCTTAAGAGATTAATGAAGAATGGGGTAGGCAGAAAGAGATGAAGACTAAGAAGGTAAGGAGTGCAATGCAGTAGTTTAGGAGACTAATGAAATGAAGAAGGGGGTTGATGGCTCATGGCAGAGGCACATGGAGGCATGAGAATCTAGGGACAATGAGGACTGGGGGGAGCATGGTCAGGGAGGTGATCAAAGAAGGGTAGTGATGAGAATCATGAGTTTTAATGTGTGGGTGACAGTGATGGGAGGGTTCCCAAGGTCATCTGTGAAATAAGTGTTAGGGACCTGGGGGTCTACGGGAGTAGTCATGGGGCTCTATAGAGCCAGTGATGGGATCTGGAGTAATGAACAAAGGGTCTATGAGGTGAGTGATGGGAAGGTCTGCAGGGGGGTTGTGGAGTGAATGATTTGGTGAGGGGCTCTGAAGTGAATGATGGAGTCTGAGGTGATAGTGGTCTGTGGGGTCAGGGATGCAGTCAATGAGGGAGGATCTGTGAGATGAGTAATAGACCCTGGGGGCTCAATGATGGCATTGTTCAGTGTCAGGCCAGTAGGAGCAGTGTCTGAGCTTCAGGTTTTTTTGTTTTCATTTTGTTTTTTAAGTCATTTTATTGGGGGCTCGTACAACTCTTATCACAATCCATACATCCATCCATTGTGTCAAGCACATTTGTTGCCATCATCATTCTCAAAACATTTGCT